AAAAAAATATTTTTTTCGAAAAGGACGAGATTATAGAATAGATAGATAGATAGATAGATAGATAGAATAAAAAAGAAAGGACGAAAAAAGAAAGAATGAAAGAAAAGAATGAAAGTAAACATTAATATTGTGAAAAATGAAAGAAAAAATATTAACTTTAGAAAGAAAGAAAGAAGACATTAATATTGTGAAAAATGAAAGAAAGAATTAAAGAAAAAATAACATTAGCTTTCTAAAGAAAGAAAGAATTAAAGAAAAAATAACATTAACTTTCTAAAGAAAGAAAGAAAGAAAGAAGAAAGAAAGAAAAAGACTGAAAGAAATATAAAATATAATTTTAAAAAATGAAAGAAAGAATGAATGAAAAGAAGAAAATTAACTTTCGGGAGAATGAAAAAGCAAAAAAGAAAAAGCAAATCAAGAAAGAAGGAAAAGGAACGAAAGAATGTAAGAAAGAAAAAAGAACTAAAATAGTTTTAAAAAATGAATATAAAGAGAAATGGCTAACAGAAAGAACAAAAAATTAAAGAGAGAAAGAAAAAAAAATTTGAGAAAAGGAAAAAAAACTGGAAATAAAGAAAAAACCAAAAAAGATGAAAAATTTTCTGAATTGTTTTTAAAAATATTTTGTTCTTTGGTACGTTTGATAACAAGCAGAGGATAGATAGAAAAGGAAGAAGGGTAATCAGGAAGAATAAAAGAAGAAACATGAAGAAACATAAAATGAAAGAATGAGAAACGAAAAAGTACTACCAAAAAAGAAAAAAGACGGTAAGAGAAACAAAACATGGAAAGACACAATGTTAGAAAGAAGGAATGCGTGGTGGAAAAAAAAATAATTCTTTTAGAAAAAACAGAAAAAAAAAAAAAAGAAAAAAAGAAAGAAAAAAAAAAAAAAAAAAAAAGACATTTGAAAGAAAAAAGAAAATACTACAAAAGATGAAGGCATTCATGAAATGTTATTTTGTTGAAAAAAAAAAAAAAAAAATCCAAAATTTTTCATTCCTGAATTGAATCTAAAAAAAGACAAATAAAGACATTGATTAAGAAAGAAAAAAAATGAAACAAAAAAAAAGAACTAAAAACAAAAACAAAAAAGCTAAAAAAATGACATCAAGAAAAACAAACATTTTTAAAGAAAAAGCCATTAAAAGAAAACAAAAAAAAAAAAAAAAGGAAGCTTTTAAAAAAACACAAGGGAAAATTTTTTTTATTTTTTCTTAAAAATTTAACAAAAATGTTATAAAAGAAAAACAGAAAAGTAAAAAAAAAAAAAAAAAATTAAGAAATATTTTGAAGAAAGAAAAAGAAAAGAAAAAATTCTTGAAAAAAATGTTTAAAAGCAATCCAAAAAAAAAAAGAATTAAGAAAAAAATTAAAAAAAAATTTAAATAAAAAGGAATGAAAGAAAAAAGTTAAGGAAATGGAATAAAACAGAAAGAATTAACGTCTCAGAAAGATTTAAAAGATTTCTTTTTTTTTAAAATGGGTAATCTTAACACGTCCTTCCCACAATAAGAAAAAAAAAAACAAAAAAAATTTTTTCGATGCAATTTTGTCTTCAGCTTAAAACCATTCCGGATTCTGGACACAAAATTCGAAATAATAGAGAATTTCGTCGTGGTCAGTCAAAAACCTCAAGTTCAAATGACCGTTCGATCAAATAATCAAAATTGATTTAATTTAGGAATGCAAAATTTAAACACGGGTGGGATGAAGTATAAAAAAAAGAATTTTTTGTTTTTTTTGAATTAATTTATGGTTTTTTTAAATCCATTTTAATTTCTTTGTCGGGTATTTAATTTAGTCTGTCATTATAATCAAATTTATTTTTTTTTAAATTTTTTTTTTTTTTTCTCTTTATAAATTGGATTCTTTCTTTTTTTTTTTTTTCCATTTTAAAATTTCTATAATGGAGAAATTCAACCCAAATTTCTATAATGTTATTTTTTTTCATTTTAAAACAATCATATTTTACATTTCATTAAATATTCTTTTTTTTTCAAAATCCACTTTAAAAATTCTTTATAATTTTTGTTTTATTTTTATTTATTTTTTCTTTGTAAAATTTTTCTTCTTTTTTTTTTAATATCAATTTTCTATAATGTATTATTTTTTTAGAATCTTTTTTTTTGTTTCAGATTTTACAAAAAAATCATTCATACACCAAATAATAATTCTATTGTTCTTTTTTTTTTTTTTTTTCTTTTTTTTTTTAATTTCTTCTTTTTCATCAAATAATGCATCTATATTTCCTATCAATATTCTATAAATTTTATTTTTTTCCCTTTCAAATTCTATTCTGTTTATTTTTTTCTTTTTCTTTTATATTTTTTTTTCTTTTTTTTTTTTCTTTATTTCTTTTTATATTTTTTGTTTATTTTGTTTTTTTGAATTTTTTTTTTCATTTTTTTTCTTTAAAAAAACTTCATTTTTTTTATTTAATTCTTCAATTAAATTTTTAATGTTAAATTCTTTCTTTAGATCTTTCTTCTCATCTTTGAATTTTTTTTTTTTTTCTCATGAATGTTGTTATATCTTTGTTTTTTATCCCAAAAATATTTTCTTTTTTTCATGTATTTAAACTATTTTTATTGAATATATCATTATTTTTAAATCCGTCGATCCATTTGATTGTATCTTTTCTAACTTTTTTTTTATCATTTTATTTAAATTTTAGGTATCTTTCAATGACGTACAATATCCTTATTCTATTTTTTTTCTTTTTTTTTATTTACTTAAAAAAAAAAATACAAATTTTCTTTTCATTTCTTTTTTCTGAATCAAATCTTTTCACCTTCAAGCTTTTTTTTTTCTTCTTCTTTTACCTTCTTAAATTTCTTTCTTTTTCATTTTTTTTTCCATTTCTTTAGTTTTTTTTTTTTCAATAAATATTTTTTTTTTTTTTTGTAAAATGCTTTTTTATTCTCCCATTATTTTTCAGGACCTTCTCATTTTAATTAGCACGCACAAACCGAAAATTTAAAATAAACGAACTAACGAAAACAACCAGGAAAAAATTCATTAAAAAAATCAATAGAATTCTTTTCAATGAACAAATCAATATCGACATACAATGACACACATAGGTACACAAACACACAGACAAACAATACTTAGGTCATGGTCACAGATGAAAATTCCTGTGGTTGTACAGATAGATTGTAATTTTTTTATAAATCATTTTTATAAACTGGGTGGAATTTTAAATCTGTTTAAATTTTTATCCATTTGATGGCCATTTTTCAATGATTCAATTTGGCGTTTAGGTTCCCCCTCATTTTTTCCATTCTTAAATTGAAAATAAAGTTTCCGAAAATAAAAATTTTTGAAGATCAAATTTTGCAGGAAGTGAAAATAAATGAATATTCCGAAAATGTAAATGACAATTCATTGATCCGGCTTATTGAATGAAAATGATAAATAAAACAATGGATTTTTTGGAAAATGAATTGTTCGAATTTTTCTTTGAAGTTTAATTTTGCTTCTGATTCCGGTAAAAAACATCTAAAATAAAAAAAAAAATTTAATTTTTTAGGGAAAAAAAAATCATCTAAGGCAAGAAAATTTCTCAAAGCTTTCAAAATGACGAAAAAATTTTTTGTCAGAACCATAAATAGGAAAAAATCTTTCATCATATTTGAATTTATCGGAGTCTTATAATATATATATTTTTGATATTTGTGTGTGGTTAAATTTATTCATATATTTAAATAGATAAATAAATGGTCGAGTATTTATTTATTAAATTTATTCATTATCCGGGACTGTAGATATATTTTTATACCCATCATAATATTTATATATTTTAATATTATTATATATATTTAATAAATAATAATAATGGACTATTCCATACTTAATAAATACTGCGCCTCAGGAGTTGAATTCAAGGAGTTCAGTAGTCAGTAAGTCGAGTCAAGAGTCGAGTCAGAGGCAGTCCGAAACAGAGTCGCGTTCAGACAATTACTGCAAGACATTGGAATAGTGATACTGGTCGAGACTACATTGTTCTCTCTACTAAACCTGATTGTTCATACTAACACTTCTACTTCTCTGTATATATTCCTGTTTGTAATATATCTGTGTTATTCCATATCCTGTGTTCGAGTTCTTCTTTATTGGTTCTACCTTGGACTATCACCGTGGTACAAGGAACCGGACCATAACATATTGAAAGTGGACATTTTAATATTTACATATAAATATATATATATTATAATATATATATATATATATTTTATATTTGAAATTTTATAATGGAATATACATTACAATTATTTTTAAAGAAATTTTTTTTATGTTTATAAAATCTTTTTTTTGATAGAAATATTTAATATATAAATACAGCTTATAATAAAAATGTATTAACAAAAAAATATGCAATGATGAATTTCATAAATATTCATTGAAAATATGTATAAAAAACATTTTCCGAACCTGTTATCCTATTTTGTCTCTTACCGTCACTTATTTTCTGACGTTTTCTTTTAAAAGTGGATTTCTCAAATATATTAATGTGTGATTTATTTTCGATTTTTTTGGAATTTTAAACAATTTCCATGATTTTCTCTCATTCACGGTTATATTCATTTTTTCTTATTTAAAATAAATGTAAACAAATGAAAATTCGAACTATGAATTTGTTTACACATATAAAATAAAATCCAAAAATGTCCCAAATCATGGATTAAATATCTCAGATATTTTTTTTCCAAATTATTGTTTTTTTTAAAACTTATTAATTTGTTTAGATTACAACCTTTTTCAGAACATAATTAGGGTTCAAATAAAAATGTCTCCATATCTTCAAAAAGGCAGGAAGAATTTTTGTGTGTGTTGTTGTTTGTTGTATGTGTGTTTTGTGTGTTTTCCACATTTATATAATGTGAATTAAATGAATTTTTAACAAAACGACGGATTTGCACTAAAAATTTTTGCACATGCTCCAATCTTTTAGAAAAAGGCCAAGACCGACGTTGCATTTGCTAATTTGATCA